AATTTGAAGTTGTTTCATTTTATCATCTAATATTTTATTGCTAAAGAAAAAGTATATTAATCCCAAATTTTACATGATTTAATAATAGATTCTTCCTTTAAATATCTTACTAATAATGCATAAAAATTATACACAGACTTTACTTTATAGTTTTCACCATTAAGTTTCTTAAGCTATATAATAAATTTGCATAGAAATTTTTCAAGTTCTTTACAAGTATCATATTGGTTAATATGTTTTGTTAAATTAGCTTTTTTATTAAATTTATTAATTATACGAAACTATTTTGATGTATATTATCTGTATTTTTTATTCTTGAAAGTTATTATAATTGATTTATTTCTTCACAGGTAAGTATAGAAGATATTATAATATTTCGATTTTAAAGAAAAAAAATAAAAATATAAAAAAAATAAAGCGTGAGAAAATTAAAAGTTTAAATAATTCTATTGGTATATATGTCATACATAATGAGATAAGTCTGTTATTTCATATAAAGTTACAGATAATTGGATTTATGTATAGGTTATATAATAATCACATACATTTACGCACATGTGATTTTATCTATATCCTGTAAATAACCTAGTTATCCTTCATATTATATGGAATAACAAGTATTTATCTCATGTAATTTAATTACATATCTAAAATAGCCTTATCACAACATATTTTTATTAATTTATTATTATTTAAATTTAAGTCTTCAAAATATTTATTACAAGTAGCAAGATCTCATCATCTCTATTTGAATTTCCTTCAGCTCAAAAATAACAACTTTAGAAGGTAAACATTGAAAACCAATATTAATTTATTCTATTAATAATATTATAATCAAAGTTTTGTAAATATTTAATTGATTGATTATTTTAATTAAAACTAAAGATGCTAGCTGAAACTCTCTCAAAATAATTTCATCATATCCCTTACTATGTTTTTAATATAGTTTCGGCTAATTTCAGGTTTTGGGATTTCATTATACCCCTCACTATATTTTAATATAATTTCGGCTGTTTATTAATTGCCTTTTTTGAGTTTCGTCCCTCATCTTTAATTAAAACATAATATTATTCAAATATTATTTCAAGTTCAATTAGCATTTCTATATCAAATTGATTTAAATTAAATAAATAAGTTTCTTCATTTAGATTAATTATGTTTTCATTAATTGAATTTAATGATATTGGTAATTCAAATTGAAATAATAATCTTAGAGTAGCATGTGAAATTATTCAATTAATATTATAAATATTTTCAAAAGTAAATGATTTTTTCTTAAAATCTATATTATCTATTTTATATAGATTCCAAATATTATTTTGTTTTTTTAATTATTAAAAGAGGATTTACTTCTAACATTCTTCTTTTTTTAATAATTTTTCATGTTTTATTATATGAGATATAATATGAATTGATTGAAGTACTTTATAAAATGATGTTAATAAATGGGATTTATAATATAAACTAGATAATATATTTGAAAGTCAAAGTTTGATTTTGTTTTGAGAAATTGAAAGAATTACTGAAATTAAAAAAACCGTAATTTTTTGAATTTTTTGTTAATTAATTAGCTTTATTTGTTTATTTTTTTTATTAAAATTTTTTTGTTTTTTTTCTAATAATATCTGTATTAATCCTTTAAAAAAACTAAACATTGAAGGTTGAAAAGCATTTTGGTATTCATAAAGTAAATTTGATAATTCTAAAATATTTTGTTGTTAATATATATTCTTTAAATTTATTTCTATCATATTTGCAAAATTTTGTCCTAATTTTATACATTCTTTTGGTATTAAAGTATTATTAAAAATTTTAAAATCAATATGATGTAACTTAAATATTGTATTAATTACAAATAAACTTGATGCTATTTAATTATTCTTATTATTATCATTATTATTATCAAAGGTTTGTAAAGCTGATATAATCAATTTTAAAACTTTTTCTTGTATTTGAATATCATCAGATTTAGCAATCATAGATATCCATTTACTCATAAGTTCTAATGATGTAGCTAAATCTTTTTTATGTTGATCATTAAATTTACAATCTATTACTTTATTTTCTCATTCAGATTTAACAAATATATGTCTACCATTTTTTCAAAACAATCACAACAAATATATTTTAAATAGTCATTTGATTGTAATAGAGAAATGATTAGATCAAATTCTTGTAATGCTATTACAATTTTTTTTATCTAATATATAGAATTTGTATATTTTTTCCTATAAGATTCCAAGAATGCTTAGTACAAATAGTACAAATTTGCCTGTACTAAAAAAATAATTATAGCTTTTTTAGCAATTTTAAAAACTTATAACAATTTATAGCAAGTATATTATAATTCGATTGTTCGGGTAAAAACATTCATATTTTTTTGATTCAGTTACTGTGGATTGGCTAAACTATAAAAATTTGTATCACATGAGATCTTTGCCAATTCTTAGGAGCTGGCAAGTTTCTATAAATCATGAGATGATTGGCCAATCAGAATTTCGCTTCTCTTGATCTATATTGACTTGACAGCTACTATTATAATCATTAATGAAAAAAAAGATTAAATATTTGCTGTGCTATCTTTCTTACTAATTCTTACTAAATTTTTGCCAAATTTTGCCAAATTTGTAATTTCATTCGTTAAATTTTGCTTAGTTTATTATTTATTTCTTAATTAACCTTTTTAACCTTTTTAGCCTTTTTTGGTTTTTTTGGCTTTTTTTAGTATTGTACAAGAAATATTCCATTTTATATATATTGTTTCATTTCACTATACTTTGCTATGCTATGCTATTGATAAATGCTATGCTTTACTATGCTATACTATTTATTTAACTTATGCTATTTTTCAGCGTTGCTATGCTGATCACATTTGCTATTTTGTCATTATGCTATGCTATGCTATTGCTAACTAAATGCCTTTACAATTTTTTTTCTTCGTAAAAAGGTTCTTTATATAGAAAGTAGAAAAAAAATTTATTTGAATTGAATAAATAATTGAAATAAATGTTTAGCAATACAAATTATAAAAAAAACTAACTTTCGAATATAATATAGTTAGATTATTGATTGATATTAGTGAACCGATTGATTTGAAATCAATATGTTAGGTTGAACCCATTTTAAATTATAGATCATAATGTAAAACTCAGATAAACTGGCTAATATTGATGAATCAGGCAAGATCGATTAACTTAAAATAAATATTTTAGTCTAATTTAGATGATTAGTAATAATAAATTTGAAAGTGCGTTACGTTTTGCAGCTAATTTTTAATTATTAATTGATTTGTAAAATTATGATTATGTAATAAAGATTCATAATGAGATTTGAAATAAAAATACATATATAAAGTACTTTGAATATTGATTGATTAATTAAAAACTTGATTAAAAAAAATATATCAGCAATTTTGTCTATTGTTTTCATTAAGAGTGTAAATAGTGAAAAAATTTCTACAGGAATCAACTAAAGAGCAGATAATGAAGAATTTGTAAAGATTAATAATGAAAACATGATTCAAGAAATAAGATTATGTCGATAATTAGGAGATTTTTTAACTCTGAATCTGAATTATTTGTAATGAGGATTTTGTTATTTTTAAATTTTTTATAATCAAAATTATTAACTTATTTTTGTATATCTAGATAACGGTAATTAAAGCAACAAATTTGAATGATCTACCAATTGCATAATTATTCAAATTATCGGTAAAATCAAAAGATGAATACCAAAATTACTTTATTTTAGAAAGGAATGTCTACAACTCATTTACTGGAATAATAAATAAACTTATGATTCTATGTATATATATAACATTAAATGGCAGGCAATCTTCAGTGGAAGAATTAACAAAATATTTAGCAATATTCTAGTTGCAGAAAAACTATTCATAGAAATAAGTCTTGTACAAATTATTTGTTCTAAAATTGTGTGGTCTTTTCCTAACACCATAGCACAAAAAGAAGAAAAAAGTAATAAAGCTTTAAAAAGAGAAAATTTATTAAAATTTGAATAACAAATAATTAACAAAAAACAAAAAACAAATAAAACAAACTCAACAATTTCAATTCAACCAAAATCAAGTTCAACTTAACATTGATAATATTGGCAAGAACATTTCAACAAAAAGATCCAAAAAATTAATTTAAGCAATTAATAACATTAATAATAAGAATGAAAAACCTATACAAAATTATGAAGAAGAAATGAATCAACAAATAGACCTTCAAGATAACACATAATTCGTCTTTTATTTTTTAATAATTATCTAACAAACAAGATATCTAAGGTCTTGGTATGTTCAACTTTTCATGCGTTTATCTTTTTTTTTACGATTTGAATCATCTGGTGAAAAGAGATTGATAAATTTTTATTTTTTTATTAGTTTTTCGTAAGTTTTCTCAAACAATACACATATCTTAAGGTATTACAGAATGCATTTACTCTAACAGTACATAAAACAAGGTATTACATTATCATACGTGACCTTGAATATTGATAAAAATATGTTTGCTTCAAGTCAAGCATATGTGATTATGAGTAGAATCTTTGCATAGAACTGATTAGGTATCTATTCATTTGATATAAATTCTATCAAAATCGATAAAAACAAATATAAAGATTAAACTTAATATCTCAAAACGGTTTAAAAACAATTCGTCAATAAAAAAAAACTCAAAAAAACAAATTTTAATAAACTCGTATCATGTATCATAACGTATTACAGGCTCCCATAGCATCTGAAATCCGTAAATTTGTTACATTGATCAAATTAATTTATCTCACAATGATCTAACACATCACTCGATATTTCTCCATAAAACATGCTTCCATTCATTCCCTTGAGAAACTTCTCACCATGTAAAAAAAATTGTCAACTATTGAGTGGTCTAATGCTCAGCTTCGAATTCTTATTGATGAATGAAAACAAAGATATGCTGAGTATTATGACACTTTAAACAAAAAGAAACAACTTTTTGGGATGATATCACCATCCCTTAAAGCATGGTTTCTGCAGGAGATAACCTAACTATTTTGATAAGATATTTCTAAAATAAAGATAAAGAGTACAAAAGCATTTTATGTAAGTATTACTCCTTAGGATTATTAAGACGATTGGGTTCCATAGAAAATTACTAAAGAGTTTTCACCAGGTTTCTTTAATAAAGGATAATTATGCACAGTACCTTTGGGAGAAATTTACTAAAATAAATAGTTCGACTTATTTATTTAATAGAAAATCTATTTAATATAACTAGAAACGTTTTTGATTAAGCTCATCATGAAAACGTTAGGAGGTTAAGCAAGGCAGGTTCGTTTTCATTGTCATCAGCAAGTACTGTACATGCTGAACAAGTTCCTCTTCAGAGAGAAAATCTGTCACTTGTTCTGATATTTCTCCTACTACATCAAGACCAGTAGTAGAATACAAAAATAAATGTAATAATTAATATTACTTGTAAACACGCATTTTAAAAAAATGAAGTAAAATCTAAATTTAACTAATCAGGGAAAACTAAAAGAAATGTGTTGTTAAAAATAAATTAACTAACTTAAACATTAATCATCTAAATTATTATTATATTTTTGTAAAATAATATATGAGAAAAGGCCTGGCCGGCTAAGAAAAAAATGAATAAAAAATGACTTCTTAATATTGCGGTTCATCGTGAGGGTATATTTCTTTTAACTTTAATCATTAAATTATAATGCAATATGTAATGAAAAATCTGAATCAGGAAATATTATTATACAAACACTATATACAAGAATACACTAATAAAAAAACCACACAAATTGTAATTAATTTAATTAATTTTTATTTATCCTAAATGAATTACGAGTAGACTTATTTATTACTGACTAATTTATTGATATAATAGCCTTGTTAATAATATGTTATTTTAATGTTAGAATCGATAGATATGCACTTTCAGTGTACAAACCTTCCATAGAGTTATCACACTCTCTGAGATCATACCATTCAAGATCATCATCATCATATGCTACTTTTTGAAAGAATCCTTGAGATTTTATTAATAGCTCAATAAGGATCGTAATTAAGCTCTTGATGTAATTTTGCTGTTAAGTCTGAGAATTCTGCCAGGAATTTGCATGCAACTAAGGTCTCCCTAGAAATATAAAAAATCAAAATAAAAAGTAAAAAAAAATAAGAGAACAATTGCCTTATTTTATTGGAGACTCTGCAAACGAGAGATTGTATTTTGGTTCGAATTGATCTGGCCAGGTTTTAGCTTTATATTATTCTTTAAGGAGAGAAATTGCATATTGTATATCTTTGACGACTGAAGTATCTGGAATGAAGAGAACTTCCTGTTCAGCATTAGCGTATGCCTTAGCACACGTGATGAGTGCTTGGCGATGTGTCTTAAAGGATGATTCAAGATTAGATACATTTGTTTTTTTTGCAACTGAAGAACTGCTTACCTCATCTTCTTCACTTCACGCTACTTTCTTCTTTGGTTTCTTTTCTTTGTGTTTGAAGACGCATATACATTTGGAGACGCATGTATTTTGGCTTTTTCTAATTGTGAGTGGTTTAGATTTAACTTTTTTAGGTTCTCTATAATCCCTCGTGAAATGTCCAAGTCATTTTGCAGTTAAAGCAGATTTTATTGTTTTTGTTGTCATTTCTTCGTTCTATGTCTGTACACCTTGGCTATAGATAAGAATGTTAAACAAAAAAATGTCTGTATAATATCTACACGTGATTATATATTCAAAATTTCAAGTTACATATAGTGACGTCATAACGTCATATTGCTATTTTATGTCGATCATTAGGGTACCCTTTTATCTCTCACCAACCTTTATTTTCATTTTTACTAAGTATTCTGGGAATTTGGAACCACTTTTAACCTCTTATATGTTACCTGATCGACATCAGATTACAGACATGCCTATTAACTATAAATATCACCATAATTTCGAATCATTGTCATAATTAATAAACTTTCGTTTAACGTAAATTTTTGAATCATCTTGTTAATTGATAATTGTTTCTTTTTCAATTTATTTCTTTTAAAAAAATGTTAAGACGAGCAAGATGTCAACAATTTGTAATATCTGGTCCACTATCACGTCTTTCTCAATTAAAAAGGAGAATTTCATTTCTTTTCTATAACATATACAAAAGGTTGAATATCCCCACTTGGCATTCCCATTTCAGGAGGAATGATGATATGTATTTATTGTATAGACATTTTGACATAACACAATATAGCAATAAATACATATTTAACCATATTTAGCCTGGTGTTGACAAATGTTACAAAGAGAACTTCAAAATTTAGGCTAGATGTTAAATACTCAATATTCGACTGTCTCAAGATGACTACTATCTTAAATCAAACACTTATGTTATAAACGCTTCCAAATTTGTATTGGATACAATATGAAATACAGAAGGATACATGTCATAAAAGGAATATATAATTATAGTCTCTATTAATTAATATTATATGTATAATACTAATGCAATAAATTGACAAATTACATTTTATTCATCAGCGATAACAATGCTCAAAATGTCAGAGAAAAGTGACAACTGAAATGATTTAAAGTTTATTAAAATATTTTTACTTATAATGAGTATTACTATTTATAAGTGTATATAAAATACGAATATAATGAGATAGGAGCCAGCTGGCTAGTAAAAATGAAAGTAAAAAATAATAGAGTAGCAAGATGTTTTAAGGTATAAAAGAACACATCTTTAACCCATATAATGGCAGTTTCTTTTCTACTACTCAGTATTATTATCTAAACTGCTAATATTTTCTTTGCTATCAAACCATTTGCTATTTATTAACTTTACTGTACTATATTTTGAATTATTATAGCTATAATAAAAACTTTTATAATAGCCCCTTTAATCTTTTTTCCTGTAAGTTAACAAGCTACTGTTTCATACATATAGTTAAAAGAATCACTTTCTATAAGCAAATTAAAAATTTGCTTAAAACAGGTCTCAACATTTTCAAAAAAAAATGAATTGGATGATGAACTTTCAGAATAAGAGCTCATATGTGAGATTCTAATTGGATTGAAGCTTCAAAATGGTTGGTTATACTGTGAAGATTGAATTCGTTAGAGACTGAGTGAGTTTTTTAAACAAGCATTCTATCTACATTATATTAAAACATATTACTTATAAGAACTTGGATAGTAGCATTGATTGTGATAAACTCAAATGAAATTCTAGTAAAATTGCTTTGATATGCTCATTTGATTTTATC